ATTGTGGATGATGTTGTTTTTGCTACTCTTACACCAGATCAAAAGGCAACTTTGAAGGATTCAAGAAAGAGAGACAAGAATGCTCTCTACCTCATCTATCAAGCATTAGATGATGATGGTTTTGAAAAGATTTCAAGTGCAAGCTCTACCAAGGAAGCATGAGAGAAGCTGCAAACCTCTTACAAAGGATCCGAGCAAGTGAAGAAGGTTCGTCTCCAAACATTAAGAGGTGAATTCAAATCCTTACACATGAAAGCATCTGAGTCTATTTAAGATTATTTCTCAAGAGTAGTAGCTGTTTCTAATCAATTAAAAAGAAATGGTGAAAAGTTAGAAGATGTGAGGATAATAGAGAAGATACTCCGTTCGTTGGATCCCAAATTTGAGCACATCGTCGTGACGATTGAAGAAACTAAAGACTTAAAAGAAATGAGGATCGAGCAGCTCCAAGGATCATTGCAAGCATACGAAGAAAAGCATAAGAAGAAGTATGAGTTTACTGAGCAACTCCTCAAGCTGCAACTCAAGGATATGCATGAGAGCTAACGCAATGATAGAAACCAACGTGGCCAAGGCAGAGGTAGAGGTCATGGACGAGGTGGAAGTCGAGGTCGTGGACGAGGCTGGAATTACAACAACAAAAATTCAAACAACAACTATGAGAAAGGAGAAATCTCAACACGAGGCTGTGGAAGAATCAATATGAACTCAAAGTATGACAAATCTCAAATTCGATGTTATAATTGTCAAAAATTTGTGCATTATGCTTCAGAATGTAGAGCTCCCAACAACAAAATTGAGGAGAAGACCAATTACGCGGAGGAAAAGACAGATGGAAAAGAAACTCTTCTTCTAGCACGAAAGGAAACTGATGGTGGCCAAGCAAATTCCTGGTATCTTGACAGTGGTGCAAGCAATCACATGTGTGGAAGGAAAGACATGTTCGTGGATTTAGACGAGTCAGTAAGCGAAAATGTTTCGTTTGGAGATGATTCCACAATAACAGTGAAAGGGAGAGGTAATATTCTTATCCGTTTGAAAGATGGGAGACATCAGTTTATTTCAAATGTCTACTATGTGCCCAATATGAAAAGTAACATCTTAAGTTTAGGGCAACTGGTAGAGAAAGGTTATGATATTCATATGAATAATTATAATCTTTCTATAAAAGATGATAAGAATAACTTCATTGCTAAAGTACCGATGTCAAAGAATAGAATGTTCTTGATCAACATACAAAATAATGTTGCAAAGTGCCTGAAAGCTTGCTACAAAGATGCATCATGGCTTTGGCATCTTCGATTTGGGCATCTCAATTTTGGAGGTCTAGAGCTGTTATCTAAGAAGGAGATGGTGAAGGGACTACCTCGCATCAACCATCCTGACCAGCTTTGTGAAGGGTGTCTAGTCGGGAAACAATTCAGGAAAATCTTTCCAAAGGAGTCAGAGACAAGAGCCAAGAAGCCACTTGAGCTCATCCATACCGATGTGTGTGGACCGATCAAGCCAAGCTCTCTCGGTAACAGTAACTATTTTCTTCTCTTCATTGATGATTTTTCAAGAAAAACCTGGGTATATTTCTTGAAACAGAAGTCAGAAGTTTTTGAAGTCTTCAAGAAGTTCAAAGCAGCAGTGGAGAGAGAAAGCGGTAGAAAGATCAAAGCCATGAGATCCGATCGAGGTAGAGAATTTACTTCCAGGGAGTTTCAAGAGTTCTGTGAAGCAAATGGAATTCGTTGACCAATGACAGTTCCTAGATCCCCCCAGCAAAATGGTGTGGCAGAAAGAAAGAACAGAACAATCCTCGACATGGTACGAAGCATGCTCAAAAGCAAGAAACTACCCAAGGAATTTTGGGCAGAAGCAGTAGCGTGTGCAGTCTACTTGACAAACCGATCTCCAACAAGAAGTGTGTGGGGAAAGACACCGCAAGAAGCATGGAGTGAAAGAAATCCTGGCATTTCCCACTTGAGAACCTTTGGAAGTATAGCCCATGTTCACGTACCAGATGAGAGAAGAACGAAGCTTGATGATAAAAGCGAGAGTTTTATCTTCATCGGCTATGATGCTAATTCGAAGGGCTACAAGTTGTACAATCCAAACAATAAGAAGTTTGTGATTAGTCGAGATGTGGTCTTCAACGAAGAAGGAGAATGGGATTTTAACTCTCGTACAGATGACTTCAATTTCTTTCCCCAGTTTGAAGAAGATGAGCAGACAATGAGGGAACAACTAGATGAATCTCAACAAGAACTTGCAACTCCACCCACTTCACCAACATCAACCACTCAAGGAGACTCATCACCTTCGTCATCGTCAAGTGGGAGTCAAAGTGAAAGAGTTGTGCAACGCACAAGAAGCCTTAGAGATCTCTATGAGGTAACTGAACGACAAGATAATCTTACATTATTTTGTCTGTTTGCAGATTTTGAACCAGTGAGCTTTCAAGAAGCGGTACAAGAAAAGAAATGGAGAGATGCGATGGAAGAAGAAATCAAGGCCATTGAGAAGAATGACACATGGGAACTTACCTCACTTCCCAAGGGACATAAGGCGATAGGTGTCAAATGGGTGTACAAAACAAAACAAAATGCCAAAGGAGAGATTGAAAGGCACAATGCGAGACTAGTTGCAAAAGGCTATAGTCAAAATACTGGAATTGACTATGATAAGGTATTTGCTCCTGTTGCTCGATTGGAGACTATCAGACTAATCATTTCTTTGGCAACTCAAAACAAGTGGAAGATACAACAGATGGATGTAAAGTCCGCCTTCCTAAATGGAGTTCTTGAAGAGGAAGTTTACATTCAGCAACCATCAGGCTATGAAGTCAAAAGACATGAAGACAAGATGTTGAAGTTGAAGAAGGCTCTTTATGGGCTAAAACAAGCATCAAGGGCATGGAATAACCGAATCGACAAGTACTTCCAAGAGAATGGCTTCAACAAATGTCCGTACAAGCATGCTCTATATATCAAGATCAAAGATGAAGATATTTTGATCGTGTGTCTCTATGTGGACGATTTGATCTTCACTGGAAGCAACCCAAGCATGTTTAATGAATTCAAGGATGTGATGATGATAGAATTCGAGATGACAGACATGGGGCTCATGGCGTACTACCTTGGCATTGAAGTTAACCAACAAAATGATGGAATTTTCATTTCACAGGAAAGCTATGCAAAGGAGATACTGAAGAAGTTCAAGATGGAGAACTGTAAGCCAATAAGCACACCGGCAGAATACGGGATCAAGATGACCAAACATGAAGAAGGCGAAAGTGTAGATCCAACATTCTTCAAAAGTTTGGTAGGAAGTCTACGCTATCTAACTTGCACGAGACCCGATATTCTTCACGCAGTTGGATTGGTTAGTCGCTACATGGAATCTCCAACAACCATCCATTTTAAAGCCGCAAAGAGAATTCTTCGCTATCTGAAAGGTACAATTGACTTTGGCTTGTTATATTCAGTTTCTAATTATTACAAGTTTGTTGGATATAGCAACGGTGATTGGGGTGGAGACATAGATAATCGAAGGAGCACTACTGTATTCGTATTTTTCATGGGAGATATTGCGTTCACATGGATGTCAAAGAAACAACCGATTGCCACATTGTCCACTTGTGAAGCGGAATATATTGATGCTACCTCATGTGTTTTTCATGCAATTTGGCTTAGAAATCTATTGAATGAGATAGGTTTGATACAAGAAGAGCCTACCAAGGTTTGTGTCAACAACAAATCAACCATTGCTTTATCAAAGAATCCAGTATTCCATGATCGAATCAAGCACATCGACATTCGCTACCACTATATAAGGGAGTGTGTTGTAAGAAACGATGTGGAAGTTGAATACGTGAAGTCACAAGATCAAGTTGCCGATATTTTTACCAAGCCACTGAAAAGTGAAGACTTCATAAGATTAAGGAACCTACTAGGGGTCACGTGATCAAGTTTAAGGGGGGGTGTTGGATCATAAACTTGATCCATTATGGGAGTCTAAACCCAAACCCAAACTAAATTGATGTCATTGCTTACATCATTTAAGTAAAGATGTCATTGCTTATATCATTTAAGTAATGATGTCATTGCTTACATCAATTTAGTTAGGTGAGAGTTAGGTATTTGTTGAATTTGTAATGGTTTAAATTAGTTTATTTGTGTGGTGTAGGATTATTCTTGAGTAGTATAAATACCCCTCCCCATTTTAGTTTTAAGCATCAAGAAAAATTAAGAGCTTCTAAGTGAGTGAATAAGCAAAGTCTTATAAGAGTTAGTTGTAGTTCTTGTTTTTGAGTGAGAGTGCTCTTGTAATATTTATTTGATTTCAATAAAAGTTGTTTGTGTGAGTGTTTTATTTCCAACACATCCTCCCTATTCTTACTTTTCTTTGACAAACGTAAGTCTCGTAAGTCTTCCACTACTACCGGAGACGACAAATGTTCTTGGAACGGTAAAGGCGATAGTCCAACCCTCGTCAGGGCCAAATTCGAGGATTCACTCATACACAAAATCCTAGATGGAATTCTTGATTTTGCGGATAAAGTCAAAGTTTTTGGAAATTTGAAGTTTTTTTAATTTATTAAAAAAAGCATGAATATTTCATGTTATTGTTGAAAAATATAAAGCTCGAAGACTCAAGACCTTAAGTACATGATATATTTCATGTTATTGTTGAAAAATATAAAACAATCTACTATACAATTATAATAATAAAGTAAAATACAAGTAGCTAAAATAATGCTACGGTTTATCATTATGCATTTATCCTTTTCTTAGAAATGACTATTCAGCTCATTTGGTAGAGCACAAGGTTCTTAACCTTGAGGTCGTGGGATCGAGTCCCATGGAGGGCATTTCATAATTTGGAGGTCTCCTACGGAAGCTGCTCTCAACCTAATGTTGGGGGTAACCTACTATCTTACCTCCCCTTACCCCATTACATATGGGAACAAGGGACAACCATTTATCATTTTCTTAATAAAATTGAAGAAAATAGGGTGAAAAAAGAAATCAGAATGGGATTATTGTTATTTTCATCTTAAGAGAATACTATGAAATTAAAATGTGTATTTGGAAATAAATCAACAGCCCTCGAAATCTCTAACTGAGAAAGAAGAAGACGTATTATCGGGCATGTTTCCAGCATGGCGTAGCCCTAAAGTGAGTGATACATCACCGGCCGTGGTCCCGTAATCCGCTACAACGACACCACCACCACCACGACACGTTTCTTCTGCACCGTCGTCATGGGTGGCGGTGGCGGTGGCGAAAGGCTGGGAAATGAGTGGCACCGCCTCGGAAGCATCATAGGTGGTGGGGTTGGATTGTTTTGCTTGGTTTTCAGATAAGCAATGGGCAGTATTGATTGCAATGAATGAAGTGTCGTTTTCAGTGGCATTGATTTGGGATCTTTTGCCTGCTGGTGTTGTTGTTGTAGTAGTTGGCGCTGCTGTTGTCGAAGGCGTTGATGTTTGTGCATTGTGGTTTGGGTTCCTTTCTCTCTCTGTATTATTGTTATTGCCATTATTATCATCTTCTCCTTTTGTTTCTTGCTGGTACATCTCTTCCACCATGGGTTTCCACAACCGAACCCTGGCATTTATGAACCAATTTGAAACCTGCAATCAAACTTATAATCTTTTCATTACATTACCATGACAAAAAAATGTGTTCATGATTGATACCTAAGTATCTAATCATCCCCCTAATCAATCTTAAAGAAACAAAATCATTTTGATCAATGATGTCCAATTTTCAACCAGAAGCAATCACTATATCCGATACCCACAATCAGTTATTATTACTAGTATTTAAGTTAGGATACCATATGTGGGAGAAGCTGCATTTAAGAGCTCTGAATCACTGTCTTCTTCTTCTTCTTCTTACTGAGTTACAAATTATGAAAGACATGGTACTAGAATTAGGTGTTTGTCTTTTCCTATCTGTCATACTTTGCACCCCACACGTTTATCCATTTTGGCTTTCATGCATGCAGATTAAAAAGAGAGGGAGAAAATATAAACTCTGCTCCTGCAAACTAAATAATTATACTTGAATAACACTCTTCCCGGATCCCGGAAAAGGACTAGTACTAATTATAGGATATTGCTCTATATTGCACATGAAATTAAAATATAAAGTATGGTGGAGTAAAAAAAATGTTTAATACTGTTACTTTGAAGTACAGAAAAGTTAATCTTTAGTGTATTTATGGGGGCTTTATCGTGTGGTTGGAGCCTGGAGGATGCCATCCTCAGTATTTGATATGAGAGAAAAAGGGACAGAGAGAGGATTAAAGCTGCAAACTTTGATGTCTCATCTCTTTGTGTACTTTGTCTCTGCCCTTAAATATAATCTGCTAATTTTCGGTATGTGTCTTTTATTCAGAAATAAGAATCTATGTCCTGGGCTAAAAAAGTCATAAAGAAAAAGAAATGATCTTTATCTCAAAACAGTGAAAGAATAATATGTAAAGAGAAATCTATATGTCAAAGTTACCCATTTCTCATCTTCTTATAAGCGCCAATAATCATGTCAAAATTTATATATCTTGAACTGAATTTAGTGTTTTAGAAGTGAAAGAGAGGTTAAGATGTTACCTGATTTCTCGATAAACCAGTCTGTCGAGCCAACAAATGCTTATCTGCATCGCTTGGGTACCTGAGATAGAGACCAGAAATGACATCAGAGTCGTAGTCTAGCCCTAAACCCTCTCCCATCCCATCTTTACGTATTGTACACTACATGGGATTGAATCTTTCGGGCTTGAGAATCTACAATAAATATCAGCACTAGTTTGGCAGAGAGCAATGAAGGGTACAACTTTCTTTCACAATCTCTCACTATATTTATGTGCATATCACTTATTTTAACCCAAAAAAACACAAAAGAAAAAGAATATTTTGTTTATTTGTTTGGGTACTTTTATGAGACACTGTTCATGAGAGAGAGAAAGTGTGAAGAAGGCTGTCGCCTGTTAAATGAAGATCTATTAACATCTTTTTTGCTGACAAAACATCCAAGGACACTGCATTGTTGTTTTTTCTACTAAGGATGAGGGTTAAATATGACATGCGACGGTTTTAATATACGATTAAAATAAATATTATTAATTTTATTATTATTTAAATAATAAAATTAAAAAAAATTTATTAAAAATATTATTATTTTTATCAATTTTATTATTATTTTTTATCAATTTTATTATTATTAGATAATTTATCAAAAATATTAAAAAAATTGATATTTTATGTAAAAAAAAATTTTTTAAAATACTTTTTTATCGATTTTATTATTTAAATAATAATAAAATTAGTAATATATTTTTTAATTGTTTATTAAAGTTACCTCACCGTTGGAAAAAGAAAGAAAAAGTTGGATTCTTTATCACTCTCCCCTATCAGTTATCTACCTTCATTAAGAAGATGCAGATAAAGAAGCGAGAGATAATAACATAGATAGGTAAAAGGTAACGTACGGGTGAAGAAAATGTTCGTAAAGCCAGGCTCTTAAAATGTTGACGGAACGTTCAGGCAGTCCCCTTTGGGGTCTCCAAGCTTCCTGTTCCATCATACCCATTTGATGGAACGCTCTTTGCTGTCTTAAGCTTTGCTCCAACATCCTCAGCCTCGGTGTCTCTCCTTTGGTTATGCCTGAGCTTCCTGCTCCATCTTTCTCCCCAAGCATCTCGCAACTGTGTCTCAATTGTGCTGATATTGCATCTTTCAAACACCTAAAGTGTCTTGACATTGCCTTCTGAGCAAGGGCAGTGTAAGGCACTGCTGCCCCAAAACCCATCACCAGATCAAATGAGTTCACCACCATTTGCATTTGTTCACAATAATGGTTGTATCTCCGCTCCACCTGTCATATCATAACATTATACCATTAACTTCAATGCATTAACCAAAGCTTGGTACTGTGAAATGATTGTTAATGGCACCTGTACCCACTGGGAACAAATGATATCCTTGTGTCTTATTTTTTCTACGTCTCTATTGACTGGCTGGTGAATGAGCCAACCAAGTTAAAATATAGAAGAAAAAGGAAACAACGGCTTTCCCAGAGTCAACCAAGTTATAATATATGCATATGTATGGCTTTTTCTGCAATATTACTATGATGGGTGGGTATGGATCTCTCAGGAAACAGTGGCTTCAAAATAACTGTTGATACATGATATGGTTGGTTAATAGTCATCTTCGGAATCAGAAGGGACGTCGCTTATCGATTGAACGCATACCTTTAATAGTAATCTTTCATGTTAGTACTTAACACACCCACCAATCCAATCAGAGACACGAAATGATGAAATATTAGGAAAAAAAAAAGAAAAAAAAAACAAAGTGAAAAGCATAATCAAACTCTACCAACTAGATCCTATAGAACCCTATTGCACCAGCCGGCTTTGCTCTATCTGGGTTTTCTTTTGTTTAAAATATTCAAAGTTGTCACTGTGCTATGGTACTACTGATGTTTGATTTGAAAAATAATGGGGGTGTTTAAACAAATGATTGGAGGACAATCGTAAAAAAAGATTGGGTCTTTGTCTCTAGAAGGAGAGAGAAAATGGGAATGCAACTATGAAATTGGGAAGGAGAATAAGCGATTACATGCCTCATCAAGCATGGATAAAAGTTTGACCTTCCTTCTTTGGCGTTCAATTCTATCAGTTGCTGATAAAGGAGGGAGATCCTTTGTTGATGAAGAACCACCGCCGCTAGTACCCGGATTAGAATTAGGGTTTGTCTTGTTTCTACCGAACTTGTTCTTCTTGAACTGGCGTCTTCCGACACTACAGAACTCTTCCAACAATTCTTGAGCTGCTTTGACATACTTTGAATTTCTTAATACATTGACCATCTCTAATGAGGATCCGAACCCAACATGAACCTGATGGTTTTGTCCCACTCCGCCTTGCAAATGCATTGTATGGTGATGACTACCCAAATTCCTGTATTGTTGAAACTGATGAGCAGCGGAACCCTCTCCTTGATTATAATACATTAACCCCCCATTTCCCGTCTTCAATTCTTCAGCCTTAGCAGCCTCCAAGTGTTGCAAAGAAGATGATAAAGATAGTGAAAGGCCTTGGCCTTCTACAACAGTTCCGATTTCATTTAGGTTGTTGAGTTGGGAATCAGTGTTGTTGCCTCCTTCACGAGCACTGTCAGGAACCCAAATAAATTGAGGTGGAGATAGAACAGAACTTGTGCCGAAAGCCCCTACAGGACCTGATACATTAAACCCTTGAAGAGAAGTAGATGGATTTGGAAGCAGCATGTGAAGAGTATTAGAAGAAGTTGCTGCAGTAGAAGGAGGAGGAGATGGTGATCTTTGCTGCGGATTCATCAAGAAAAGATGCATGGCAGCTGCTGAGTCGGCATTAATGCTTGGTAGCTGCTGCTGATGCTGTTGAGCTAAACTGTCACGGTTAATGTGGCTCTTTGATTCTCCTAACTGTCCCGAACCCCCAACTACATCTTGCCTATTGCTATACCACTCTTTGGTATTACCTGGGTTTGGCCTGTGTGCTCCATAATTTGGCTCTATATGGTGGTCAAGTAACTCGGTCGAGGCTGTGGCGGCAGCCGCACCTGAAGGAAAATTGAACATTTCTGATAACATACCTGCGGCTTCATAAACCGGAAGAGCACTTGATTCTTCCCCTCCAATCCCTGCTAATGGTGGAGGTGGAGGCTCTAAGCCTTCAACACTTAGTTTATCTCTCCGGATCTGCTGCTCCTCTTGGTGGCTCACAGCTGATCTCTCGAACCCATTCGAGAAGCTGAAAATGCCAGGGTAATATTGGGACATAGAATTAGTACAAATTTTGCTCTTGTGTTGGATTAGTGGAGTTTGATGGTGAACTTTTTTAGAGTATGGAGATTCTCGAGAAAGAATTGATGCGACGAGTGGTGGCGTTGTTATTCCCATATCAGTATCTTCTTGTTCTTTTTCATCATCATAATATCCTTTTGTTTATTTTGCTCCACTCTATCAATTCCCTTCACCTTCTTGCTATTCAATCATGGATCGGAAAAAACCCACAAACAAAAACAGCACCCATCAGAAGGGAAAGGACAGAAAAAGATGAAATTCTCTCAGTTGAGGGAAACAAAAAAAGAAAAGAGGGATGAAACGGGTGTTTGCTGATTATGTTTTCGATGTTGTTCTAAACCCTTTGATCATTTTCAGGTTTGGTTTTCATATTAAACTTTCTTGTGTATGTATATATATAGGCAGACCTTGTTAGAGTTGCGAAGTAGGAAATGATATAAAGCTCATAAAACTACACATATCTCTTCCTTAAAAGCTTCTTCAATTCTTTCATTTCCTTTCCCTCTGTAGATGATGTGCGTCGTTCTCTTTCTTTCTCTTTCTCTCCTTTTCCTTCATCGCCATTAATTATTCCTTATGAAATATATAAATACGAAAGGAAAGAAGTAATAGTAAACAGAGAAGTTTATAAAGGAATGAAAATGGAGGCTGATCTGCGGAAAACAGATAATTCACTTTCTCAAAACAAATAACCTTAGCTCAACAGACAGAGAGAGAGAGAGAGAGAGAGAGAGAGAAAGAGAGATGGAAAAGCAAAGAGGTCACTATTCTTTCTTCTTCTTCACCACTTTTCTCTCTGCCAATACTTCTATTCGATTGATTTTTTTCACAATAACAGAAAATTGGGTTCAATTATTCTTAGGGTAATAATATAAATTTGGTAACTGAACCTTTTTATATTCTATTTCACTTACTATACTTTAAATCTTTTCAATTTCTTCACTAAATTTAATACATTGAGATTTTTTTTATCACTCGGCCGTTTTTTCACTAACGGCGTTATAAATGGATTGTTATATAAATGCAAAACAACATCGTTTTGATGAAAATTTATTTTTTTAAACGGCATCATTTTAACACTGTTAACTATTTAATGAGGAGTGACCAAAAAATTCAATATAATAAATTCAGTGGAAATATTGAAAATTTTTAAAGTTCAATGAGTAAAATAGAAAAAAGAGTAAAGTTCAATAATCAAATTTGTAATTTACCCTTAATTTTTATTAGATGACATAATGTCGAAATTACTCCCAACATTTATCAAACTGATCATTTTGACCTCTATTCTTTTTTCCTAACATTTTAACTCTCAATATTTTATTTCGAGATAAAAAATTCTCAAACATTTGATCAAATAGTTATTTTGACCCCTATTCTTTTTTTTGAGCATTTTTATCCTTAGTGTTTACTTTTAGGATAGAAAAGACCCTATTTTATATCATTAATTATTTGTTAATTAACGGTTTTCATCCATATAGGGGTCTTTTTGCCCCCAAGATAAAACGTTGTGGGTCAAAATGCTAAAAAAAAAGGAGTCAATGTGACTATTTAATCAAACATTAAAGACTTTTTTTTAACATTATGCCTTATAAGATTTATTATCAATTTACAAAAATAACCTTATCAAGGAAAATTAAATTGTGGGTATATTTGGGTTTAAATGTATTATTCAACTCAAGTTCTCATTTTCTTTTCTCTATTTGATATTCAATGAAAAAATAAATAAAAGATGACTCCAAATTAATAATATTGAGAAGGGCTGCTATTATTGTAATTTTAATAGGCATAAAGACAAAGTTAATTTAGCATTTTGTGTGTTTAAAATCGGATTTTAGCATTTTGGTGCAGAGGGAATCGATACCCCCATGAGGGAACCGATTCCCCCTTTGAAGGGGAACCGATTCCCCCTAGGGGAATCGATACCCCCTGAGGGTTCTGGTTATATCACGCCCATAACTCTTTCTTTGCCTCAAACTCTCTTCTCTCCTTATTCACGCCGTTCTCCTCTCCACTATCACCCTATATCTCCATTTTGCCTCAAATCAACAATTTTAATCAGAATTCACTTCAAATATCATCTTCTAAACCTGCTAGCATCATTAAAATCGTGCAAACAACATCAAAATCCACTCAATCTCATCTTTCAAGGTAAATTTTTCTAAACTCTCTATTTCATTGATTTTAAACATAGGACTAGTTTTAATTAGTTCTAGATAGAAATAGTGATCGGGCATTGATTGTTCAGTGATTAGAAACTAGATATTACAACTAATTTTATCAAAAACACAAGAATTTTCTAAAAACTTTTTGAAATTTTTGAAATAAAAAAAATGTGTTTTTCAAATTATTGTGTTTTAATTGAATTATGTTGTTGTTATGAAAACTATACATATATTGTTTTTCAAAATCTTAATTTTCAATAGTTTTCAAAAACTTGCCCATTAGGATTGATTTAGAGAACCTTGAAATATTGAGGACTCAATTGAGTTTTGGGATTGATTGAATTGCATACATGTGTTTTCTAAATTGCAGGTTATCCATCTATTCTGATTTCCTAAACCATGTCCAATCCTAAACGTGCTAGGTCATCATCTAGTCGCTCACACCGTCAACCAAATCTACCTCCAAATCCTCCTCCTATTCCTGAAATTCCAATTCCTAATCCTAATCCAGTTGATCCCAATTTAACTATCCAAAATTCATGCTTCAATCATCCTGGTCCCAGAAATCATCGTTTTTGGTATTATCAATATTTTGACTCTTACAAAATTAGAGAAGAACGTATCCCTTCTCGTCAAGCTATGTTAGATATTAATTTTAAATATCTTCCTCTTTTACAAGAGTGAAAATTCGATAAACTTTATGACCTTGAACCTATAGTTTACCATCAACTTGTTCGAATCTTTTATTCTAATGTCGTTTGTGTCAAAAACTGAGCTCAAACTGAGACCATAGAAGTTCGTTCCTACCTCCTAGGACAGTTCTTACATATTAACTCGGCTTACATAGCCAAGACATTAGGATTAGATAACAATCGTATTTCAAATGAAAAACAAATTTTAGGTTCTCGTTATAAAAGAAGGGATAGTGTGAGTGTCTTAGACCTTCATGAAAGTTTTCTTCACCTAATGATTTCTTGGTGGTTTCGACCATTCGGAGGTCGTTATTATACTCTTAGAGCCTTGGATCTTTGGTGGTTACATTGTTTTGAAAACAATATTAAAATTAACCTACCTCAGATCATTTTTGCTGAAATTCTTGAAACCGTAAATCTTGTTCCTAACAAGAAACTTTGTTCATCTCTAGTTTACGGTTGCATTTTGAGTAATCTATTTTCTAAAGCCGGGCTTAGAGTAGGTCTAGATGTCTCCTTTCCTCTAAAGAAACAAATTAATCTTCTTTCCTTAACGAGAGCGGGATGGATAAAGGATAAGGAAACCGGTGAATAGGTTTGATCTTCTGAAAATACTCCGGGAGCTAGTTCTTCACGAGCTCCACCAAAAGCTGACGACGATCCCGAGCTTGAACAATTAATGCGAGACATCGACGAAGCCGAAGATGAGCCTGAACAGCCCAAGGAGCAAGCACAACAAATGCATCAAATGCCTCCATATTTTCAATCTTTTATGGAGACATTCGATTTCCGATATGCTACCATGGATTCGCGCTTTACTTCTATAGAGTCTCATTTATCCACAATGGGAGCTCAACAATTAGAAATTCTCCGAGAGATGCGCACAAACAACGCTTCGATGAATGAACGTATTGATGCACTCTCACATGAGATGGCTGCTATGCGAGCTCGTTTTCCTCCTCCCGATTCGGATGTTTGATTCTGTGTTTAGCTTTAGAACTTTGAACTAAAAGATTATTGTTTCAACATTTTGAATATTTTGGAATGTTTGATTTTGTGGATTGTTAGACTTTGGATTTGTTTGGATGTTTGAACTTATATATTATGTGGTTAAATTTATTCATTATTGCATCATTTACATCATGTTAGATATATGACCAATTTTGCCATGTCACATTAATTATGAATATTGATTATGAAACTAATGGCTAACGTTTCTCTTGCTTGTGATCTTAGCAGCTTAAACTATATATAATTGGCTAAATGATTTGAAAACCTTGTTTAAATTCTTTTAAAATGTCTTTTTGATTTAACAAAAAGGGGAAGAAGTGTTAAGTGTTTTAAATGGGAGAAGTGTTAAAGTAAGGGGGAGTAATTTCAAAACATGATTTCAAAATCTTAAAATTACTAAAATATTTTTTTATATCAAAAAGGGGGAGATTGTTGAAAACATTTTGATATTTCGATATAACAAATTAAGTTAAATGAATTTTAAGATTTTCCAAAAAGATTTTCTAAGTATATTCGATATAATTGTTCGAATATCAAAATATTACTCCAAATCTTTCAAATGTCATTTTTAATCCTTACTCAAGTGTAAAATTAAGTTTTAATCTTAAAATAATTTCAAAACGATTTTACAAAATATTTCGAACCATCTCAAAGCCAAAAATTCCAGATTGCTCAGAGGGAACCGATTCCCCCCAAGGGGGTACCCATTCCCCCTTAATGGTTTGGCTCTGAGAATTCCAGTATGCTCGGAGGGAACCGATTCCCCCCTAGGGGGTACCGATTTCCCCCTGTTTAACGGTCGAAATATTTGAATTTTACACTTAGGGAACCGATTCCCCTTAAGGGGTACCGATTCTCCCCACGCTCCAAACTGTTTTATTAATTGATTTCACACTAAAATGGCTATATTATCTTCATTAATGATCCCCAACATTAAGAAGTGATTCAAGGTGTATTTAAGCTAGCTTAGAAGCCATTGATAAATAACAAGAAACATCAAGCAACTAGAATCAAGAGAAAATCAAATAGAAAGCATCAAACCTCAAGTTTGAGCATTTCAAGCCTATTTTTCATTCAATATTCATTTTGCTTTCAAGAACACTTATTGTGCTCAATTGTATTCATTCTTGAGTGTTCTTTTCTTTGTTCTAGAATTGTGCAAACAATCTACCTTGTGAGGATTTCCTTGTAAGTTTGCAAATTTGTATTGTTCTCTTTGGGAGAGAGTGTTCTCAAGAATTTGGGGTATAATTCTTGAGGGTTTGTAAGGTTACTCTTTTTCCTCAAAAGAAAGACAAATTAGTGAATTTGTGGAAAATCCTTAGTGTGGATAGCTAAGGTAGTGGACGTAGACTTTGGTTGAGAAAGTCGAACCACTCTAAATCGTTGTGCAATTTCTTTCAATTTTCTACAAAAGCTTCCACAAAAATTGTTATTGCCAATTCACCCCCCCCCTCTTGGCCGATTCCGTCAATCGATTAACTCAACAAAATCCCCTTTTTAAAGGTTAAAAGAATTGTAAACAAGAA